CGGGAGCAAAGCAACATTTGGCAGCAACATTACTCCAACTCCTTAGACTTTTATTTAAAACGGTTTCCAGACAGAAGGAGTTGGCGAGGAGGAAACTGATGTGTCAAATATTTCAATATCAAACTATCACGTGTACTAGGGTGGTCCAACTGGTGCACTGCAGTTATATTTTATCATTGCCTTTTATAAGCAAATCAGTGTGTTTATAACGGGGGTTTCAGTAGTAATCAGTGTTTCTGAGTTAATGGGTCTGCAGTGTCAGTTACTGGGCAGCACACTGAAGTGGTGGTTAGGAATGGGAATTTTATAAAGTTCACATTGGTTTTATTTCCCCACAGCACTGAGATACACACTCACAAAAGTCAATAAAAGTGAAATTCCGAACTTCTGATTTATCAGCTTCCAAAAACTGACCACTTTAAACCATTTCTATTTAAACATTTGCATTTTTCAAAAAACAGATGGATGAGGTTAATGTTGGTGCCAGGTATAGAGAATCTGGAAACCAGGTGACAAAGCTGCAGCTGTACAACAGCACACGTGTAGTGAACGCGATTAATTCAGATTGACTGTTTCAAACATTGTTGTGTTATGAAGTTGCTCTATCTCCATTCATCTCCAAATCATTTTTAGTTTTCTTAGACATTCATTCAACTTAACCAACATAATTAGTGCAAATGAGAAGTAAGCATTGGTCTTAATCACAGCCTTTCAAGCCAATAATATATTATAGCAAATATGCTAGTGGTTAGGTAACAGATTAGCTGTTAGCTAAAAGCACTTGTAGTTAAAGGAAGACCAAAAGTAAAATAAACCTTGGTTCATTTGAATCGAAAATCATCATCACACAGAAAAGCACAAGTGAAAATAAAGAATCCGTTCATAAATACCCACTTGCACTCTGTGTGTGTGTGGGTAAGATACCCTTGGTGTTTGGACCCCACTTTTAGCAGCGCACCCACGTACTTCCCCTGACATTCCCTTACATTTCAAATTAAAGCTGTGCAGTACCTGCTGTGACCACAGAAATAAGTGGCCACTGCTACTGCAACTGAGACTAATTCATTTTTATGGCTGTCAAATTAAAGGCCAAACAGGAAGTAGGGCTTCACGTCCTGATGCTGCTGCTGACGTCAGACAGAGAGATCTCTGTGTTCTTTTTTTCACGTCCCTTTTAATTACACTGCTGGGTTTTCCAGTTTTTGCACATTGGCAAAAAACAACAGTAAGAAAAAAAACCTGACACTGAGGGGAACGATTGCTTAGGTAATGTCTGCAGCTTCTCATGGAAAACTTTGTGTTCCAGTTGTCAACGTCAGGAAACAGGGAAAAGTGAAAAAAAAAAATTCCTGTATTATTATTTATTTAAATAGCTCATTGTGTTCCTTTCTGCCACTGGAACAGCGTTTTGTTATTACTGTGACCCAGTTTTTCTTATTTCTACCTAGTCTAAACCTTGACTATGTGTAGTGCGAGGGTAATATTAGCACAAGAAGCAGAAAGAAAAAAAACCCCATAGGGAATGCTTCTTATAATCACCTGGAGTACGTTATTTGGTGCCTGGTAAAATCTGACGGTGAGGAAGAAAATAAACACAGCCACGAGTTAAAAAAAAAAAGAAATAAAACTTAAATTACTTCTCAATAGTGGTTACAAAAACAAAGTTTTTTTTATGAGTTAAATAAAATGATTTATAAGCAAGTAAATGCCCCTTTTCAACCCCTTTTCCAGATACTTAAATCCAATCAACTAATATTAGCTAACATTTTAACAGGACTCGTCTAGACTAGCAAAGTTAGCTGAGCTAGAACTGCGCTCCGCCATATTTACAGGAAATAACCGACCGGTTTTTCTTTTAACCCGTCTAAATTTACTACACATTGAAACCGGCGGATATTAAAATCAAATTTTAATAGGTTAAATCATACTCACCTGCACCACGTCCCCGATGTGCATTTGAAATGATCGGAGAGGACACGTTATCGGACCTGCGGTACCTGACATTTATAATTACCTCATTAACTTCAGCTGTATCCAGGTTTGGAAGCTAACTGCGGCAGGTTGTTACTTCATTTTAATTACGTTAACAAGTGTAACAAAACATGAATCAACGTCTTGCTCTAAGTAACAAGTCAGCCCCGCGAAATCCACGTCATAAAACATTTTTTCCAACGTACGTTTTATAGAGCTGTTCAAACAGCATGTAGCTTGGCGGGCTTTTCTTTTTTTTCTTTTTTTTTGAGTGACGCTTGACAGGATGTGAGATGTCAACTCCCGAAGCTCAAGGTAAGCAAAGTTATTAGCCTAAAACTAAAAAGAAATATGAATTAGTGAAAAGATGAACAACATAAGCAAAACTTTCCAACCTACCTAAAATAATAATAAAAAAGAACCCCAACGATAGCCCAGAATTTAAGCCATCACAATAGCTAAAATATAGCACAAATAGGAGGAGGTTATTGAAGCATAGCATAGCATAACATTTTTATTGTTTTTTATTAAACGTACTATTTGCCCCTTTTCTTTGTTTAGCTAAAATATATTGTTTGCAAATGCATAGATAAACATACTGTACTACACATACAAAAACATAGACAACATTATATACAACAATTAAGACAATATTCTGAAAGGTACACAATTAAAGATATACTAAAGGTGGCTAAAAGCCTATGAGACAGCTAAACATTGGTCCAATGTTACTTAAGTATCTTAAAAAGCTATATAACAACCACATTTTAACTGTGGAGTTTTATTGTTGGAGAAAAAGCTAAAAGGGAACTATGGGAAAGGTTAAAAAACAAAAAGACAATGGTTAATTCAAAAACCACTTAAAAAGTATTTACATAGATATATTAAAATGTAGACATATTAAAACTAGACTAAGAAAAAGAAAAAAGTTCTGGGAATAGTAATGTAGCTAAATGTGAGACATTTACAATATAGTAATTAAAATAAAATACAAATTGTCAGTACAAGTGAAACCTATTTAACAAGTGTACAAAATACATGTTAAATAGTAATGTGTTTCCCTGTTCCATGACTTTCCCTGGGCCAGACTTTGGACAAGCCTGCTATAAAGTCTGTCTCTGGTTTTGACTTGTTTGTTTAGGAGGACACCTGAAAGCCTTAGGGTTTCTTTAGAGTTTCACTGGTCTGCCTGCGAACAGCCAGGAATTTTCAGGAAGTCACTGAACAAGATTACCCTTTGACTCAGAGATCAGGGAAGATCAGTTTAGAACAGAAGGGGGAAAAAAGGAAGTCTGTCAGAGTAAACTTGTAATTCAGAGAATTCCTGATCAAATTTAGTTTTCTTTTAAATTCAGACCAACTCTTGGAAAGAAGCATCTTATAGGCTTGTACTGCCGAAGAAACTGATCATCAGCTCATTCCTGAGGTTGTATAGAGCGATAGGTGTTTTAATTTTGCGGATTGTTCCAACAGAGAGAGCTGCTGCGGCACAGTTTTAATGAGGCAGCAGCAAATGACTGGGTAAGTTAAATACAGGCCCAAGATGCAGCACAGCGAAGAAGAAGAAATTTAAGATGGGAATTTTTAGGCAAGATCTAATTTGTGCGTGAATAAATAAGCACTGGTGATATGGGAGCAGGTCCAACATGAAACTGACCACTAAGAGTTTAAAAATGGGGGCATTTAACCCTCATGAATTCAGCGGATAGAGGTTGAATATTTTACTGCTTTAAAATTTTATAGTGTGTAATCTGTGGACGTCTCTATATGACACTGGCGCAAGATTTATTTCTACTTTAATTACTTGTACTGTAATGCTATCAAGTTTCCTTTACAGTGTCCGCCTAAAAATAAGGTTTATGTAGTTTATTACAGTGTTTCTCAAATGCTGGGTTACGTTCCACAGATGGAACATCAAAATGGCTGGTTTTACTGTATAAAAAGTAATGTTTGGTTTTACAAAAAACTGCATTTACAGTTTGGTTCCCATGTAGATGTTTAAAAATTATGATTTTCATAGAGTATTGGGAGAACAAGGGGCATGAAACACATCGCCGGTTCTATCCAATTTTAATTTTGGACCATAAAAAAAATGTTCAGCAAACACTGGTGTAAATAATCCCACATGTAGAACAATAGTGGGACTGAAACAGAGGAAATGGATTTCAGTGCTTAGACAAGACTAAGAAGCAGGTTATGACCTGGTGAGAATTCCACAAAAAAGGAATTCTTTGATGGAAACACCAACACCAAACTAACTTTAACTAACTAAATTTGTGTATACAAAGACTTTTCCAGTTTGTCTTGGAACTTTGTGACTTACCCTCATTTCTATAACCTGAACTGAAATCTAACTCTTTGCTTATTCTTTCTAAAGGTCACTCACAGGCCCCCTGGTGGAGCTCAGTGCATATGTGCAAATCAAAGTAAGTGTGTGTTAAGAAATATTCTTTTAAGTATTCAAGAAATATGAGAGTGTAAAAATTTGACAGTGCATATCTTTCCTTTTATTCCTGCACATGTGTGACCTGTTTGCATGGTTTAGGATTTTATGCTGTGGCACGTGCCTCCATATATGTGTGTGTTTGTGTATGTGCGTGGGCGGCTGTGTATGTGTGTCTTCAGACCAGAAACAGATGATGGACCATATGTATGTGTGTGTCTAGAGGTCCCTCTGGCTCCCATGGTTTCTCTCTCTATCCCCTCCTCCTTCTCCCCTCTCTCTTCAGTCTCACCCTTGCCTGTCTCGGCTAACTCAAGCGCCACCTCCCTCCCGGACCTGCAATAGCAGCTCCACTCTGATTCCAAGCACTTTAACCCCTTTGTAGCCAACTTTGATAGATTTTAGGAATCAGAGATGGTTCTGGTAAATCTGAAGTCCAGATCTTGGACTTAGATAATCATTTGAACCGTTAGTGTGACGTGGTGGTTGGAATTGAGAAGGCAGAGTAGAGAAGAAGTTTTCATTGTAGATTCAGAGAAAAAAAAACTCATCTTAATGATGCAATGCTTTTTTGAGGTGTCTGTCTCTTACACTTTCTTGCTGTGAAAAGTCATGGCCACAAATTGCAGCCTATCAATCATGGCTCCCACTGAATCACATCACAACTGCTCTCAATAAAATTCTTACTTCAGCTTGTGAAACTTTTAATATTCAACTTAAAATTGCAGTTTACAAGCTGTTGGATTTTTATGGAGAATTGACATGAACAATAACATGTTCCGACTTCAGGAGCTTCTTTGGGACAAATATATAGCATTGGACTGAGGACTGAACAGAACCACAACTGTGTCTCTTGGTCTGTCTGTCTGGCTCAAATGCTCACACACAGGGTGTGGTTTAATATCCTGTTTCTTCTCTGTTTTTTCTTCAACCTCCTGCTTTCTTTTTTCTCCTAACTGTGCTCACATTCTTCCGCACTTATTGGATGTGCACGCATTGCCAAGAGTGTTCACATTTGGACAGTATTCTGTGTTCTATACACCTCAGAGAACTTCATAGATAGTCTTGGAAAGTACTTTGTGATACTAATGAGAGCTGTTTTCAAATGGTATTTGATTAATGATGCTATACGTTTTGTCCTGACTTTTGTATTCCCTCGTATTTTGTCACAATGTAAAAAAAAAAAAAGATGAGCAGATATATCACAAAAAGTTTCTACCACTACTAATACTTCTACTGCTACAGGTACTGCAATTGGTATTAACTTCAGTGCTGGTTAGTGTCCGGCAACAGGAAACAGAAAGGAACAGGAATATATTCAACCATCTGCCAAACTACTTGGCTCTAGACTCTATCAAAGGAGCAGTTCATTTGACTTTTGTGGAAACAAGTCTTCAACTTGGGTTCAGTGCAGTTTAACACACAGTCTCGGTGCAAGGACAATCTAGTTGTTAGTGATAGAAAGAGATTGTGAAAGTAAAAAGAGACGTAAAATTGGGGGTTCTTGGGGATCAAGGTGGATTTCTGGTGCTACGATAAAGAGTCAGGGTCCTGCTGGACCGTAGGGAGGTGCTGGTGAGCTCCCTTTGCCCAGCCGAGGCTTTTCCCTTCTGGACATGCATGGAGCCAGCGGTGGAGCCTGGATCCATCCTTTAAACCCTCCCTCCCCTTATTTTTTTCATCTTCTTCAAATCCCCCTTCCTCCTCCCTTTCTCCTCCTCTCCCTGGCACTCCCTCTCACCCCCTCCTCCTCCTGCTTTGCTCTGCTCAGCTCTCCTTTCCTAGTTCTTATGGGTGCAGTGCCACGTCGCTGAGTGAACTTATTAAACTGGAGAAAAAGACTTGGGGGGGAGGGGGGGGACTAAATAAGAAAAAAAAAGCGCTAAACACCTCCACGAGGGCTCATGCTTTTTCCCCCTCCTTATCTCTCTCTCTTTCCTATTGACATTTCCTCATCAAATCGCTTCCTCATATGTGTTTCATCCACAAATGATGTCAAAAACTACTAAAAGATAACAGCTAACGATGTGCTATGATTGATGATGTGCTGCTCACATTTCTTCATTTGCAGACTGGTGTCAAGCCATAAATACACACAGCACTCATTTAACCACTAGATAAACTTCCTGAAACATATGCATTTCATTTGCCACAAACTCAGTATTTGCTGACTGGAAATGAGTCAAATTCAACGTCTTGAGATCTCATTTGACACGCCCTTAAACCGTCTTGCTTATAAACTACTACCATCTAGTGGATAAATAGAGAACAACAGTATTACGTCTATACGTTTAAATTATTCTTTTCAAGAGTTCCAACAAATGCAAATTATGATAAACAAGGTTTGTCTAGAAATACCTGAACAAGCAAAAAGTATAGCAATAGTTAAATATAATTAGTAGTAAGTTTGGGAGAAGTGAGCTTTTTTTTACATTGAGGGGATCATGTTAGCCTTGAAATAGTACTCAGAACTTAATTTAATTTTTCAATAAATATTCTTTATTGACAGAAGCTTGTACTGTTGTTTTATGAGGCCACTGAAAATGTCTTTAATTTTCATCAGTTCATTAGAAGTGTACCACCTGAAACCCCCTTAAACACCTAAAAGCCTGTGTATCCAGTTTCCCCATATCAATCAAATTATGTTCCAGTTGTACCTGTACGAGGCTGCTCGGACTCAGACTTTTACCACCCCAGCAAAAAGCATCACGGGGAACCGATTGAATCTTATTGTGTGTCAATGCTACGGAGTGTAGATCATGTGGCAACTGTCTGGGCACCTGAAGCAAAGTGTTGTGGCAAAGGTCTAACTGGTGCAGGACGTGCAGACTTTTAAAAGCACCTATTGCAACTCTAGTGATTTTGTTCTTAGCCAGGCCAAGATGCTCCAAGTTCTTCAGTGTGTTGAATGCTGACTTCCTAATTGAGACTATAAGGTTTCCTTCTAAATTGAGAGTTTTTAATGAGGAGGGGAGGTGTTGGGGCACCTGCTTCAGTTTGTTGCCTTCCAGGTTTAGGCTTTCCAGGTGGGTTACATTGAGGAAGGAGTCCTTGAGAAGACCTTTGTTGGTGAGCCTGTTTTCACTAAGATCTAACACCAGTAGCTCTGAAATCCCATTGAAAGCCCCAACACGAAATTTCTCAATGCGGTTCCCTTTGAGGTAGAGCTCCTTGATTGACACAGGCAAACGTAAAGGAACCATGGTCAGCAGGTTGTGATTGAGGTTCAGGGTGCGAAGGTTACAAAGTGGTGAGAGCATCCCTTCAGGAAGAGACTCTGAACCGTTCCCTAGACTGTTGTTGCTGAGACTCAAAACCAAGAGTCCTGGACATCGATCCCAGGCTGCCTCAGACATCACATGAAGTTGGTTATCATCCAGACGAAGCTCCTCCAGAGAGACAGGAAGGTCTGTTGGAATGCTTTCCAATATGTTCTTGTCCAAGTAGAGACGTTTTAGAGCTGGGACACCGTCAAAGGCTCCTTCTATGGCACCGTTGGTGAGAAGGTTGTTGCTTAACACTAGGAACTCCATGGAAGCGTATTCACGAAGAAGATCCAGCTGAATGCTATTGATGTGGTTGTTCATGAGGAGAATGTAGCGAGAGTTGTAGGGAATGCCGTACGGAACTTTGTCCACACCTTTGTCTGAGCACTGAACCACTCTGAAAAACAGAAGATTTACTCCAATGTTAAACTGCTCTGCTGAATCATTTATAAAAAAAAAAGAGAAAATGTTTGGGGGATGTCACCATTTGGGTAGTAAATTTGAATGATCTTTGAATGTTTAATTTGTTAAATATTATTATTTTTATTGATTTTTGATTCCAGCTAACCTTTGATTCTTGATGAACTTTTGATCTTGATAAAATTGATATGTATCATTAGTAAATATTACTTGACCATCAGAATGTAGCTACTAAACCTAACCATATATATGTAGTTATCTTTTCTTTTAGCTACAGAAAAGCTAACTACTATATAGCTTACTGTATATTGCCATAATACTTTATCTGTCTAAATGGCATGTTTCTGTTACTATGACAATATATATATTGTATGTTTATGTTCGTATCACCTTTTTCTTTTTTTCACCTTCTTCTTTTATTGTTATTTTAATTTTAAGCTAACTCTTAGCTATGCTCAAATGTAAATACTCCATTAAGAATTGTGCGTTCTAATTAAGGGGGAATGTTAGATATGCACCAGATAAATATGTCCATGTAGTGCATGCGGTGAAAACTTAAAAAAGGAAAAACGACAGCGCCCTCTGCAGCCACTAACCAGAAGTTTCACTAATTGTTTCCCATTGGTTTTTTTTCTAGATGACATTAAGGTACATTACAACCTCTTCAGTAATATTGAAGGGCAAGACAACATGTAAAAATCAATTACTAATTATACTAATCTGATGTCCAGTGGACGGGAATGAGAGTCAAATTTCAATCAAAGTAGACACACCCCAAATCAGACCACTGACCCATAAGTCAGTGCTGTATGTCTGTACACTAAATATGTTAACTTTAACCACGACTAAACGTTAAATACAGTTTTATTTGGAATATCTGACCATTGATGAGGTTTTTTAATTATATTTTCCTTACCGGCCGTAGCAGGCGCACTCAGGTGGACAGTAGTTGTCCATAAAATAAGGAAAGTGTGTTGGCCTTGTTTCCTGCTTCTTTTTCTGTGGTGTCTTTTGGGTTTTATTTTCCTTTTTTCTTCTCTTCTCCTCCAACTGTTTAACCGTAGCCTTATTTTTACCAACACTGTTGATTTTCATTGGCCTTATTGCAGGTGTTGTGTCCGTTTTCAGCTGTGGTCTGCCTGCACGTTTGGTCAGTTGTGGTTGTGTAGGAGAGGGTTTTTTTTGCTTCACTTTGAGTTTGGATTCGGCTTCCACCATTGTCAGGGTTTCGGCCTGGTTGGTGAGCTGCGTCTTGTTTAGATTATGGGTAAACTCAAGCCATGGAGTGGTTGTGGATATGGTTTCATTTGATTCTGCTGGTGGGTTTGGCTCTGTGTTGCTCAAATTTTTGGATATAAACTGTCCGTCTTGTGGTTTTTGGGTGGCTTCTTTCGGTGGAACGTTGGTATTTATTTCTTGTGTTTCATGGACTGTGTTCATCTCCCTCTGTAAAAACTGCAGTAGTCTGAGTTGAGGGCGCTGTGTCACCTCAATTAGGAGATCTTCCAGCAACAAAGCTGACCTTCTGCCAGGAACCAGTGTGGACTCTGTTTGGCTGGGAGTGGTGACTGCAGGAGGAAATAAATGAGGAGTCACTGTGGTGTAGGAATGATTTGGAGACCTGCTGATAATTTGTATAGTTGCTGCTTGTTCTGACTCTTTCCTCACTTGGGCAAAGGAAGTTCTTAACAGAGGTCCTTTAGGCATTTGAATGCGTTTCATTTTGTCTACTGAGCCATGAAGCTCTGCATGATCAGTCAACTCTCTGTTTTCAAAAGTGAATTCATGTCCATCTTCTCTAATCTTCTCAAAAAGATGAATTCCTGCAACTAGCCTGCTCTCTCTTTCCTCTTTCTCTTCATCATGACGCGGCGTATTCATTCTGTCACTTCTTTGGAAATTCATATCTTCTTCAACAACTTTCCCAAACTGAAGCTCTCTATGTGCAACAGCTGCTTCTGTGGAACAGAAAGAAAACACATTTAGAAGAAAGATCTTCTCGGAGTGAAAATTATTTAATAGGTTAAAAAAGTGACTACGACTATGTGGCTTTTTAAAATAATTACATATAACTGTGCTTGAGTTATTTAAGTGACCCGGTTAATGGGGTATAAAATGTACTTGAGTGACACTCACTTGGTTGCAGTATATATGAATGTCCAGGAACTGTGATGAGCAGGAGTATGACTCTCAGGAGTTCCATGTTCTCTGAGGGACATGGGAAAATCATTTAGAGAACATGTAAAAACAGAATCACTTTTTTTCTTTTTTTTCTTTTTTTTTGTAATTTCAGTTACATTTTTGTATGTTGTGTATGTTTATAATACATATATACATTAGAAATTATCTAAAGGGTAAGCACTCAAACATCCTAGGTATGTTGTGTATGTTTATAATACATATAAACATTAGAAATTATCTAAAGCACTCAAACATCCTAGTCCAAATACTTCAGACATCATTCTGATAAAACCACATGTGTTGGATGAGTTTGATTAATGAGAGCTGCACTCACCTGTCATAACAATAAATGGTTTTCTTCTGTGTCAAAGCTTCATTTGTCAGTGTTATCCGTGTGACCCTCCACCTTCCTCTCTGCGTGGACCCAAAGGAAACTGGGGCAACCTTTGAACCACACGCTGGAACTACTGCAGGTTCCAGTTCCAGTTGATGCTCCTCTCCATGGAGGATTTTCACACACACACTCTGGATGAGCCACAGTTAACGGTCCTCAAATGCCTTTATCTGGAAGAGAATTCTCGCACTTACCCTCCACCTCAGAGGAATTCGGAGCATCAATTGTGGGAAAGAAGGGCAATTTTAGGAAAAGGAGTCAAAGGTAATAACTTAAACAAAATGACCTCCACTTGTGAACTACATGACTTAAGGAAGTCAGAGATGCTCTGTCATTCTTTACCTTGCTAACCCTATTTTATTAAGCATTTTTTTACCTCCACTTGTGAACTACATGACTTAAGTCAGAGATGCTCTGTCATTCCTTACCTTGCTATCCTTATTTTATTAAGCATTTTTTTAATTAATTTTAATTTCCTACAAATTACATTTTGTTCAATTTTATATAATGCTTTAATAATAATCAGCCACATTCAAAATAAAATAATATTGTTTGGTCTTGGACATAGTTATAACTTGAAGGTTAAAGTGCAAACAGTTTTAGAATTTTTGCAAATAAGTTTCACTTTTCGTATGGAGGAGAGTATGTGACCTTTATATATTGTTTTGAAATAAATAGTAATTTATTCTTAAATTCCAGCTCCAAAACATGATGTTTTTATAGAAGAACAAAATGTTTTAAGATATACAATATATCTAAAATATTTAATTATCCTAAGTTACATAAACTTAAGGTAACTTTTTTTGTATTTATAAAGTATAATACAAGCGTCACATTGGTGATAGCAACAGTTCAATGAAACCGAGATGCAGTACCTCTCTCTAGCCACAGAGTGGCAGCTTAAAACCATACATATTTGGAAGAAAAGCCCAACGTATGTGAGCGTCTTGTTTTGCTGGACACTGATGAGCAGTAAAAGACAACCAGTGGTTTGAGTGTTTTGTTTTTGTTTGTGTCTGCAGCCAAACCGATTTCCTGAGGACCGTGACACAATGAGAGACGGTCCACATAAATGCTGAATGACAGGAAAGAGGCTCATCCAATTGAAGTCAAACTGCCAGGAGAAGAAGTGAAGATCCTTTTTACAACCTAAGCAGCGGCATCTCATTTCCTGCTGGATGTGACGTAATGTGCGGGAGCTGAGGTGTGAAAGACAGGGATGAGAGGTGAGGATGAGATGGGGGTGGATTTGTATTACACCTGCACCTGTTTCAGACTAAAAATAACACATCCTCTCTTGTTGGTTTGAAACACTACTTCCCTTTTTTCTACCTTAAATAGTCGCTCACATCATTATTTTTTTTACATTTATTACATTGTCAAACCCCAGCTTCTCTCAGTTAAAAACCCAAGAGCTTAGTCAAACCTTTGTGGCCTCACAGAGCAAATAATGACCTCACTGCTGTAAAGAGAATCTATAAAATGAAAATGTGTCTGAGGTCAGGGCAGGAAAACTGGACTCACAGTCCAGTGTGGAATTTACACGGGGTTGAACGGGTGTGTGTTTACGTCTGTTGATACTCTGCCTAAAATGATCCGTTTTCTGAAAAAGGGATTGAAGTAAGCCAACGTTTGGCAGAGTTACCTTTAAAATAAAGTGACCCAAATGCAACTGAAAGATATGTTACAGGACAGAAAGGTTTCTGTTGAAAATGTTATTTTATTTAGTCAGCGGAGCGACTGCTAGTAGAACTCGACAGTGTTTTGGCTTTGTTGTAAGTGGACATATAAGTCATGGTAGCAATAATGACACTCACCCAGAGGGTTTCGTAGAAGAACACGTAATCTAATTTACAGTAAACAGAGAAAACATCAATATGATGTAACTGGAAGGCATAAATTCATGAAGGCAACGGTGACAGATGGGGAAAATAAAGACGTATCTAGACGTACAGGCTGTAAATACACAAGAAAAATAAGCTGAACAAAAGTAAAACCCAACCACCAAACTAACCCGTCAGTATGCTCGGAGGCTGGGTCTGTGGCTAAGAGGTTAACAGGGGTCCAGCTCAAAGGTCTCGGACTGTGGTCCTTTTGTTGGCATTAGAAATTAAAACGTAAACACCTGTGTGCTCTTGGTGTGTACTTGTGTTCTTCATGCTTCGTGGTAACACTTTAGGTACTGTACGGCATATGTAGGCTTTATATACTGTAAACTAATACAGCGTGCCTGTATATGTTGGAGTAAAATCTGGGTCAGGCCTTCTGGTCTTCTAATATACAGTAATCTGCTGATTGTTGCTCTCGTAGGCTAGAAAAAGCGTCTGTTCTCTCAATGGGACTCACCTACTTTCAGCAAAGTTTTTTGCCGGTGCAGAAAAAAAAAAAAAAGCTAATTTCAACAAATTTTGAAACCATTTTTGCCCATCTGAGACATTATTATTTAACTCTTTATGTTGTTAGCTTCTTTGGATATTTTTGGCTAACGTTCTATATTAGGTAACATTTGTATTGGTTTGTGTCAAATATTTTATTTTGTTGTTAGTGTTATTGAGTGTTATGGAATACTGAACTAGCTTTAGGTGAAATTGGAGACATTTTTATCTTAGCACTTAGCACATCTTAAACTTACTGCTACTCACTGCCTTATTTTGAACTAACAATTGTCCTAATACTTCAATGCAAAGTGCTGACTTTTTAGTTTTTGGTGTTGCAGCTTTGTCTGTCTGTTTGTTATTAACAAGTCTTCTTGGCTTACTTTATCTACGTTTTTTTTGTTGCCATTTTAGGCTAATTCTTGTTAGCAATGTTTTAGTCAAACTTCAAGCACCTGCAAAGGATTTCTGCTTCACTCTACCTCTGTCCAGACTTTTTTTTTTTTTGGAGGGTAATGTTTGTATAAAACATGTGAGCGCAAAGTGATTTTTAACAATCATTGACTGTCCCAGTTAAACATCCTTCAGCTGGAGAACAGACAACAAACACCAATGTCATGTAGGAAGAATAATATTGAATGGACAAATATTTTTACATGAATAATCTACTATTATGTTATTTAAATGATTAACTGCAGTCATATCTCTGGGGGGACTTACAGTCATGGTAGACTTAGGCCTCACTCTGACATTGTTGTCTTAACCCTGCCCAGAATAGCTGCAGCAAATTAAATTCCTGTTTTTGTTTAAGGATGGAGTTCTCGGGTCAGTGAGTACATCGTAGCAGGGAACTTGAGCAAAACACAGCCTGAGGAAAGGGAGGCGAGAGAGGGAGGAAGGAAAGGGAAAAACTTTTGCTAATGTAAAACTGAATGTTTTTTAATTTATTTAGTTCAGACCCAAAGTTTTCAGTAGAATCACTGATCAAGATCCTGGCAAGTTCCCCGTCACAAGAGGATTCTGCCAAGGTACAAAGACACCTGCTTTCAAGAGTAATTGGAGGATGAAAAATGATTTATAGCATGTCACGCCCAAATGAACCCTTAATGAAAAAACACGTCCAACCCTTTTTGACCATTGATCTCTAAAGAAACAGGTCCAATGATTTGGACATTGTGTTCTCTATCTATATTTATACACCTTTTCTTTTTTTAAGCTCTATATTGTGTTAGCAATCCTGGCTATCCCGTAGAAAAGTTTCCTATAGTCTGCTATCTTTTCCCTGTTACACTCCCAACATGGAGCTTTCTTCTGGTGTTTTTGTGGCAGTTTTGGTTACGTTTTATAAATAATTGAGTTTAAAAATAAGTTTTCTGCCATGGTGTATTTTTTGACTCACCCGTAGTAAGTAATTTACCTAGCATTTACTTTTATGTGTTTTTCAGACTGGCCATTTTTAAATGTAGCTCTTATTTACCCTAAAATTGCATTTAAACATAAAGTTATTCTTTTGTAACAACACATGAAGCCTGTCACCCAAAAACTCTGCTATTGTCTGTGAAACAGTCACCACAGACTCATATCTGATTGACGTCGCAAAAGTGCTGTTTCTAGGACGACAGTGGGTCGATTTAGATTAATTTTTTTCAATTGAAGATGTGAGCGAGCATAAAAGCAGCAACTCCATTGACATTTGGCTGCTTCGTATTGTGCCAGAGCAGAAATGGTGAAGCAGTGCAGCGGAGTGGCTCCCATTGTCCTGTAAATTATTCCATTGTTACTTAGAGTGACTCATATGGTTCTGAGATTTCTGTTTAAAGCAAAATTCTGTCCAGACTATGTGTGTGTGTGTGTGTGTGTGTGTGGGTGCGCCCCACTTTTAACCAATTACTGATGCCACCAGCTCACCATATGCTACATGACGCAAGTGTCTGCTGAATTTTTCTTTTTTTTTTTTTTTTTTTTTATATACATTCCACACTAGAAATATTGCACTGGTGCTGACACTAAAATCAACAAGTGTGAAGAATGTCGGTAGAGAAAATGTTC